TTTTTAGTTATTGACACAAAATAATACTTTATCATTCTTTAAATTGACAAAAATATCAACACAATCCTTGCAATATTTCTTTAACATGAAGTTTAATTAATTATTAAGATTAACTTATATTATACAGGAGTTATTAATTTTTCTCCAGAAAAGAAAATTGTTATCTTAAAAACGTTAAATGCACACAACTAAATAAATTTATTAAAAATACCTAAGTTTATTATAACTAAGCAATTGAGTAAATATACGTTTCAAAATACAAAATGCTTCAAGGAGCCAAACTATAAACATCAAAGATAAAAAATCAAATTGAGATATAAATAAATTGATTTATATTGTTAAATATATTGTCTTGGTTTATAAAAAATTTTAAAAGCAGTGAGTTAAATGAATTAAACTATCATTTAATTATTTTTAATAATAGAATGTAGCATCATTATATTATGATAACTGAATAATGAATCAATTTAACTTTATTTAAGTTTAATTGGTGAAAAAACAACTAAAATTTTAATTAAAAACAAAAACAAATCAAATATACAATATTAAAAAAAAATTACAAATTAGGAAAAATAAATTATAATTTAAAATAATATTACTTCTTGCTATACAATGCATTCCTTCGTATCTAGCAGCATATCTAGCATTTTGTTGATTATTAGTTTTATCTAGCCTAAGCCTATTTCTTTTATTTTAGTGACGATTATTTTCAACTTGCCTAACCACACTCTCCTCATTTGGCTTCAAAATATTTGCTGCTTGGCGAGAAGCATACCTAGCATTTTGTCGATTATTAATTTTATCTCGCCTAAGCCCATCACTTTGATTTCTGCAACTGATTAATTTGCCCATTCACATTTCTGCTTCTAGCCTAATATCATCAATTTAAACTTCACTTTTAATTGAAAATAGTAACAAAAAAATCATAAAAAGAAACTTGAGGATTGTGATTATTTCTATACATTTTTTTTTTTTTACTCTAAATAGCACACACAAATAATTTTTAAATATAAGAAACTGTCTACAAAACTTAACAATATTTTGTTCTTCTATACCACATAAATACATCATTTGATAAATCTAAAATAAAAAATGTAACAAATAAGTAAAAAAATAAGAAAAACATTACATACAAAAAACGGAAATCATTGTACCTGATATAGAAAAGCTGTTGTGATTTACCTGAGTAGCAGTAGTAGGCTTTTAGTGAATATATATAATACAGAGTAGTAGGCTTTAAGTGAATGATTAAAAGCAGTGAGGTCTAATAATGAAATTACCTATACATCATTTTTAACAATAAGCAACAACTTAAAGGTAAGCTAAATGTATATCAACTCAAAAGATTACAAAAAAACAACATCACAACAACAAAAACATTCACCATAAGTTCATATAATATGCATATAACATAACTTAAGAAACATAACATTCATATATAACAGAACGTAAGTAACAACATTACGTAAAATGTTATTAAAATACATTTTTATATATTTTCAGAGTAATTATTAATAAAGGCTTAAAAACACCTAGACCTAAAGCAGTAACAGTTTGACACGAAACACTGCTGTGTTTCGTGTCAACCCTCTGCAGTAAGTAAATGACTTGGCTGGCAAGGTTGACAAATTATGGTTGACAAATCTTGCTTTACACGTGCATTGTTTTCTGTTAGTCTAGTATTTTTTAAACCAAAGTAAGTTTAAGTTGTTTACTCCATAAAGTTTTAATTTTTTTATAAGAATTTCATGATTGACATTGTCAAATGCTTTGGATAAATCAATGAAAACGCCTAAGATAAAATAATCTTTATCAAAAGCATCCGATATATGGTTTACAAACTCAACTACCGCGTGATCCGTAGATTGATTTTTTTTAAACCCAAATTGTTTGTTGTACAGAATATTATTTGATACTAGATAATTATAAAGCCTATTGTACATAATGCGTTCTAGCAATTTAGAGAAACAAGGTAATACAGAAATAGGCCTATAGTTTGAAACATTTGTTTTTTCACCCGACTTAAAAATCGGTGTGATTTCGGCTATTTTAAGTTTGTCTGGTAAAATACCAGACGTTATTGAGAGATTAAAAATGTGAAACAATTATGGTTCAATAATATCAGACTGATTTAACTACATTGACGCTAATTTTATCTATCCCTGCACTTTTGTTATTTTTCAGAGAGCAAAAGGCATTATGCAACTCACTTATATTTAAATTTAGTTCTGTCATAACATTATTTGCTGTTTTGAGGTATGTTTCAAATTTTATGGTACTAGATGGAATTTTAGCCGCCAGATTTCGACCAATCTCAAGAAAAAAACTGTTTAGCTTTTCAGCTATGGTTTCTTTATCATAAACGATTTTTTCATCAATTAATAGTTTTTGTGGCAAATTGTTTTTAATCAAAATATTTTTGCCAATTATTTCCTTTATTATAATCCAAGTTTTTCTTGTATTTCCATTACTTTTTTCCAATAGCTTTTCATAATATGTTTTTTTTGAAAATTTTTTGGTTTTTTCAAACAAATTTTTGTAGTTTTTGTATATTATTTCATTGTGATATGTCGTAGATATTTTTCATATAGTTTTTGTTTTTTCTTTGAAGATTTAATCAAACCTTTTGTCATCGACAGATTTAAAATAGACTTAGAATTTAAACTTTGTTCGATTAAAGGAAATGCCTCATTATATTGTTTACTAAAAAACGTGAGGAATATTTCATAAAAACTATTTGCATTTTGTGTTTCATACACTAAGTTCCAATCAACAGAATTTTTTAATTGATGGCGAAATTATGCTAAGGAGTTTTCATTAATTTGACGTATCAATATTTTTGATTTTATGGAATTGCTTTTTAATGTTACGTTTTTAGTGGTTAGAAAGATAGAAAAATGATCACTTATGTCGGTTTTAATTATGCCTGTTCTTATGCAGAATTTGTGAAAATTGTTTGTTATTAAGTTGTCGACTAATGTTGAAGATGTCTTTGTTATTCTTGTTGCCTTATTTACTGTTGGAATAAAATTATATTGCAAAATGGTGTAAATAATGCATTTAGCATCGATTTTTGATGCATAACTTAAAATGTTAATGTTAAAATCTCCAACTAAGTATACATGCTTCCGATTTTTACTGGTTTGGGTTAAAAAAATTTTAATGTGAGCTTTAAAATTTTTTAAGTTTCCAGCTGGTTGTCTATAAATAGAGTTTACAAAAATGTTTTTATCCTTTTTATTTGTTATTTCAATGCCTAACAACTCACAATCTGTTTTATTCACGAAAAAATAATTACGGTGAATAAATTTAATAAGTTGTGAATAAAAATACTCACCCTACCCACCAGCATGTTTATGACGCGATTGATGAACTGATATATATATATATATATATATATATATATATATATATATATATATATATATATATATATATATATATATATATATATATATATATATATATATATATATATATATATATATATATATATATATATATATAAATATGCATATATATATATCTATATATATATATATATATATATATATATATATATATATATATAATATATATCTATATATATCTATATATATATATTATATATTATATATATATATATATATATATATATATATATATTTATATATATATATATATATATATTTATATTTATATATATATATATATATATATATATATATATATACATATATATATATATATATATATATATATATATATATATATATATATATATATATATATATATATATATATTTATATATATATATACAGGGCCGCCAAGAGGGGGGGGGGGCAAATGAAGTAGTTTGCCCCGGGCATCGCAGTCTCTGGGGCATCACATGCCTTAAAAAAAAAAATTATTGAAATGATAAAAAATTTAGCTGATAACGTTATTAAAGATTAAGCAATTATTGTGTATTAATTTCTTTCTCCTTTTAAACTCTGTTTGCATTTAAAATAGGATAATTATTACTTTACAAGGTTTTCATTATCCATTTGAACGCACGAAAAAATTTTTTTTTTCTTATTTAACGTTTGTAAAAGCCTGACTTCTGATAGTTTAACTTATTTTTGCCTAAACCTTGCGTCCCTGTGGATACTTTTGTGCATATGTATTTTTTTGACTCGCCTGCATTTTGTTCCGACTATATCTTGACAAGAAACTTATCTTCATATTTTAATTGTAAGTACTGACTTTTTCTCTGCAATTAATAACACCAAAGTATTATAAAGTTTTTAATTTTTAAAATTTAAAAAGTTAAAATTCTTTATATCGTCATAAGTTTTAGTATGAATAATCAAAGACCTCCACGATTGAAACAGCTGTCTGGAGCTGCTGGGAGAAAAAGATCGATGATTCGGAAAAAAAACGAAAGCAAAAACAAACGAACGCTTTTAGATTGCGTTCGTTGGACAAAAATCGAAGATAAATGCAAGCAGGTAGTTAAACTATTTTTCAATCTTGTGACGTTCATGAAAAAATAATTAGAATAATTCTGTTTAATACTTCTTTATAGTTCAATGATATTGAGATCGGTATCAATGACTCTAATGAGTTGCCAGACCATAATTCCGACAAACTTTTTCTTGC